TGCTCCAAGGAAGGAAAAGCGGTAAACCGTTGACGGGGTCATGGACCACCAGTGTGGTCATAATGTTATGGCTGATTGGTGCATGCACTATATATTGCCCTCACAAATACCCACAATGGGATGAAAATGGTGTCCATGGCAGACTACTTTTTGCCAAAAATCCCACAATGCAATGCTTTAAAGGACCAGTGTGTAGGATTTAGTAGCATGTAACTGTTTAGTTAGAGATAGCAACTCTGGTGTTTCAAACACACCTTCCAAGCACAAAGGAGAAACTAAGATGGGACAAAAAACGTGAATGCCCTTATCCAGAGCTGCTGTTTGGTTTGTGGACTTTGTTGATGGTGCAAAATGATTAGTGTCCAAAATCACAATGTACTACCAAGTAGTAAACTATGTACTAGTTTATGAACTGTACTATAAACTGTGTTTATTATTAGCTGGTGTGTTATCAGGAAATCAAATCCAGAGAGAATACAATAAGTGGACAACGGTCTAGATCGGAGCTATTTGAAGAAGTGTCCTGAGATAACTTTTGTTATGAATTTGCACTATACAAGTCAAATTGAATTGAAAATAAAAAACAAAACAAACATTTACTGTTGATTTACTGCCGCTGGCAAATGTGGAAAACAAATCTTTAGACCAACAAAATGACCATAAATAATGTGCATTTAATGGGCCACGCAATACCAATACCAAGCTATACCAGTAGTCTGGTCTAGAGTGCCACTTTGTACTGACATTCTGTGTGTTTCTAAACTTAAATGACTTAGACTAGAAAAAAACAAAATGATAACAATACTAGCAATACTACTACCTTGAGAAAGCTACTGATTTTATTATAACACTGCAACATTACACTCCAAAATCAATGTATGTACTTCTACAGATCTATGCCTCAGTAACAGGAGCTATCTACTGTAATTTAGGAAATGAGGCATTGGCTAGCATTTGGCAAAATTACAGATTTTGGGGTGCAATGTTCCCACTCATCCTTAACATCTCTCCTCAACTCTAATCTGACTCTCTGGCAGGCTTGTGTCAATTTTACTTATCTCTGGTTCTTACTCATCCTGCAGGATGTTTGCAGTACGCCCCAGATACCCTGTCATGCGGCTAAACACATCGATGTGGTTACTGGGACGAGCGGTAGGGGAGAGAGGAAGTGGTGTGCTGCTTTTCAGGCTCCTGATGACAGTGCTGGGAAGGAAGACAGTAGGGCTGCCAATTAAGCTGCAGCATAATTAATGTGTGTGCTAAGCTGTTTACACACTACTGGCAGGAGTGTGGGAGGACTGCATGAGGACAGAAGGGAGACGCATATGCTGTGTTCACGTCATACAGGAGCAACTTTCAGGACAGCTTGATGGGAAAGTGTTTCAGACTCATCTGAAGACATGATGAAGACATTACTGAGGTGTTCTGTGCAATGAGGTTTACTAGGTTCATCAGTCTGTGGCTTTACAACCTGTCCAACATACAACACCCTCTATCCTGACCCCACTTTAATGTTGTCAAGCTACAGCATTTGTTTCGGATTTGGTTTGATTTTTCATATGAAAATGATATCAAGAAAAGTAATAGTAACATAATGCACCTTATAAGTATCTTCTATCAGCAGCTAATGAAAGCCAAGGTAGCGTGAGGCTAATGAGAACACAACAGGAACCAACAGTGTTGGATGTTGGAAAAATAAAAACACTACTTCGATTTTTGTCCTTAAAAAATGTCACATCCAGCCTGAGGGTGGTGGAACAGTAAATGCTATGTTGTAGCCTAAAGGGTTCCTTTAAGGGGGTGTCCTGGTAGCTTAGTGGTCACACACCACACATCCCTGGTTCAATTGTTATTTCCTCCTCTTTCCTCAACATTCCTGTCCGTCTCTACTATCTGCTATCCATAATGGCTAACATTCAAAACAAAAAAAACAATCCTTACAAGAGGATTTAGGTTTAATCCACTGTATCAGTGCAATCACAAAACACCATGTAATAAAAATAATTCATTTCTCAAACCAGTGATGGAAAAGCTCACTCATACTCAAAGGTTTTGAAGAGCCATGTGAATGTAAAGTAAACGTTGCTTCAAGTAGAGCACAGAGGTAAATGTGTTTCATTCCCATAAAAAGTTTAAAAAATATTAAAACTCACTGAAGTAACTATTCTCAATATTATCATTGACACCAACATTTGATCTGAATTCTAGTACTATATATTTTGAGACAGGATGACAGGCACTACAAAGTTTTTTAAGCATGTAAATACTAGTTGCGTCCATCTTATTCACTTTAACTGACGAGACAAAGAAAGAGACAGGACTGTGATTTCCTCAGTACATAAAATGTGTATCAGTAGATCAGCAGCAGAGAGACTGATTAGCAAGTTGAACACTGAATTTGAGTGAATAAGGAAACATCTCCATTATGACTCAATTAAGAGCAATAATATCCAAGTTAGGTCGGAACAAAATAACTTTAAATTCAGCGTAGAACTTGGCAGGTCAAACACCAGGCACAGAGCATTTCTGATTAAGTTGAGACCACATGCTTCTTCAGAGCAGGAAACCGAGAAGAAGAGTATTAGTGGAGTTGAAGTAAAGTTATTTCGCTTTTTTCGGCTTTTCAGCCACAATGCCGGCAACAAGCTCTTACTGTTTAATCTCCTTGACCTTTGCCCTGTCGGTCGCTGCTTGTGCCTTGTCATAGGTCTTCCTGCGAGAGAGCGGGGAAGGCTCCGGAGCTCGCTTTTCCACCCCTGACGAAGTTCTGGAGCCAGAACTGATCATTCAGTTTCATAGTTATCCAAAAACAACACAAAGAAGAACAATAAAACAACAGAAGGATGTGAAACCAACATAAAATAATGGCAACTATGAAGAGATGAACATGCAGTACACACAGAAACACAGTTACCTGATATTTAAAGTCCCAAAACAGTGGTGGTTCTTCTCCAAGCTCATATGTAACTACTGAGGAAACTGTGTAGATTTGGTGCTACACTATAGTATAATTCTATTACTTTATTTGCTGATGGATCACTGAGTCAAGAGGCTGTTTTTTTACTACATACAAATCAATGTGCACTTACAGTAGGTTTGAAGCATGGCCTTTCACAAGCCAGGTAAAGCGGTCTGGTTAGTATTTTTGCTTTCAGTGTGTGACTAAGCTGTAATCGGGAATTAGAAAGGCACTTTTTGCAGGGGGCAGTAATAAATAAGCCATACAAATGTTAATAGCGGCTCCTCTCTACATGCTTTACTTCAAAGGACTCATCAGTTGGCAGACGGTATGGCCATTTGATGTAAGGATGCTCATGAATAATGTGAAACAAAATCAAATACAGCAGAGGATGTCGCAGCAACATCAAACATGCAGGAAGGAAGTAGTAATTATTGTGTTAGCAAAAGAGTGCTGGGCCTGGACTTACATGCTGCCCATTTTAGAGGAAAAGCCAGGGGAGAGAGCTGTGTAGTCCCTGACTGATGAGCCTGACGAGTCCATGTCTCCTCCCCCTTCCGGTGTTTCAGCCAACGGCAGCATCGGACTGGAGAAGTCTGCAGTGGGTGCATCAGGGGCGGAGTCACTGTTTGCATATAGCAGCTCCATCTGAGTGGTGGTCCTCCTACGAGCCTGTACAGCACAGATAAGTCAAAATTAACACAGGAAGTAATTGGGGAAATAACAGTGTAGGCTAAGACTGAGGCATAAAAATAATAGACATATAATACCTTATTTCTGGTTTTGGTTTCTCCACAGAGTTTTATGAGATCTGATGCCAAGGTGCTGGAGCAAATACAAAAGTTTTATTTGCAAGTATTAGGAAACATATAGCCATTTGTAAAAACACGCTTAAGTACAAATAACAACAGCAACATAACATAAACTTACTTTCCCTCTGCAGAAGGGCTCTGGGCAGACTCATCACTGCTGCTGTCGTCCCCATTTTCTGCCAAATGACATAAATGAATAATATTAGAGCTGAGAGAAAACCGACTTGGCTGATAAGACTGAGATGATTGCTTTTGACTTCATAAAAAGGTTCTTAGCAAGTACACCTTGCATAATTTATCTTTTTGCTCACTTTCACTATAGGGTGAAGCAATGTTCCTTACTTTTTTTTTTAAATGGCTGCGCAAAATGGATAGAAAAGATGAACAAGTGAAGCAGATGAGGACAATGTCAGCGCAGCGCCATGCTGTTTTGTTGACAAACAGAAACTTGGTCCTCACGGAGCTCAATGGGATCGATGGATCGAAAAAGGGGAGAGGTCAGAGAGCAGTCAGCTGGGGGAGGGTTATAAAGAAAGATGTGTGGGCAAGTTGGGGCAAAGGTAAAAGACCTGATATTAGACAACAAGGTGGAGGAGTCTGAGGAAGCATTAGTCCAGTGCTCCCGTTGGTGTCAGCTGACCTACAGGGTCGGACAGAGCTAAGGTATCCATGTTGTATGGTCCCTGTGGAAGGGTCTGGGGTTAGCAGGGTGCTAAAGCATGGAGGCTGTAGCACATGGTGAGCTAGGAGGAGGAGGAGGAGGTAGAGTGTATCCAGATGAGGGGAAGGGAGAGGTCAGCAGACAGATGGAGGGAAGCCTGGTTGCATTGCACCTCATGCACCTGTTCATTTTATGTTTCGTTAGTTGTCAAAGTGCAAAGGGAAGGAACCATGCATTTATAACACAGATAAGAGTCTATTATGGTTTCACTTACCAGCAGGGATGTTACCTAGCTCTGTAAAAACATAAGAAAACAAAAAAAGAAAACGTGGGGGAACAGAAAAAAGGCAATGCACAAATCAAAAACACAGTCCCCCGAAATTCTAAAAAAAGGAACAAAAGAAAATAAAGTGCAGCTACTGTAAATAGAGCATCCTGCTGGACAGAGGCTGGTAAAAATAAATGTACAATACAAAACGTTACAGATATGTTGTTTTAAACTCTGCAACCAATAAAACATCATTTTTTTTAGGAATTTGTATTTTAGGAATATGATCTTTGTACCAGATTTTAACAGTGGAATTTAGAATCTGTTGTATAATAATTAGGCCAGCTTCTATTCAGCAGAAGGCAACAGGCAAGAGCATGTCAATAGGACCAATCATGCAGCTGACCAGCTACCCAGCCCACTTCTTGAAAAGCCAAATGCTAGGCAACAGATGGGTGGAAAGACATATTTAATGGCAAATTTTACACTTTTAAACAGAACTGACTCTTGTAAGAAAAACATCACCATCATCATCTACTCTACTTGTTGTGATATTAATGATACTTCCAGGAGGTGGGCTGGGTTAAATTAGGGGTCTGGTCCGTGTTTCGGGTCCTCATCTCCACTTCTATCTCAACCCCAACAAATGCTGTTGTTACCTTGCAGTGCGTTCCCCAGCAGCGCATCAAGCTCCGGGTTGAACTCGGCCTTCTCCTTCAGCATGTGAAAGAGCAGCTGGTTCTGTGTGGCGCTGGTGATTTCTGTCTGCTTCAGCCTGCCCTCCATCACCTTCACTTGAGACTCCCTCTGGGCTGCCTGGAGACCCTAAGCAGGTCAGATCGCAGACATTACACAATGTTTATAGTGTTATTCACTCCCAAATTCACACCCACATCTTGCCATATGGCAAACTAACTGCATGTGTAACTACATATCTTTGTATATGTATGTGCTGTATCTTTAGTAAAAGCAATAGCAATGGTACAAAAAAAAAACACTTTAATTTCTTCTTTATGATAAAAAAAATATTTTATTGGCAAATGTAGCAAGACTAGACAATGTATCAGGAACCAGGTATACTAAGGGGCGTCCTTATAATGTAAATGTGATAGATTTAACCGAATGGCAATTTACTGCAGTCCCTGACCAGGTTGATGTTCAGAAGTAAAATGGCCTGATTTAGGGAAGAGAGGTGTTGATATGTACCTAAGAAGTTGTAAAACAGCCATAAGCACAGACAGTTATTATTATGCCTGGTACCTTGTTGATAGCCATTGACATGAAGTGATCCAACAGAAAGCGAGCTTCTGTCAGGGTGCATGAACCAACAACAGCAGAGACGTCCACTGTGTCGCCTTCCTCCTGGAAAAAAAACCCAGTGTGAATGCATACAGCTAAAAGGATTTCTGTGAGAAACTAAATTCTCTGAAACTCTACATTTCTCAGTGACTACCTGCTAAGAAGACTTCACATAAAACCTCGGTCAATTAGAAACTCCAGCTGTTTAAAGTTCAAATGCGTAATGAGATAAGGCTCATTGACATTCTCCATCTATTTTACTGAATCCATCTTTTTAACCAGCCAGTAAACCAAAATATATTTTTAGGCCTTCTCACCTTGGTTTCCTCCATCTGCATGATGTTGGCCTGACAGTCTGCGATGCTGTCATTGATGTAGTCAATGTTGGCTGTCAATGCATCCACTTCTTCATTAAGAGGAAGCATTGCCTTCTCTGCCTCTGGCCCCTCCCTGACCAACCGGTCCCTCTTCCTGATGACCTTCTCTTTACGCTTGGTCAGCTCCTCTCGTTGCTATGGAGGTACAAACACGATGACTAAACAGATTTCATCCCATCGAGTTATTTCTATGTGTGTAAATGTTGCTGCAGACGTACAAGAAAGGGACAAAGCCACGATCTTGAGGTTATTTTTAAAAAAAGGAAAACACAACGTAAACGATTCCCTCATGCCAAAGTTATGCCAGTTTTTTTTTTTTTGTTTTGTTGCCCACTGATGATAATGAACAAGATGACATAGCAGTAATTAAAACCTTAAAGACATCATTTGTCCCAAAAAAAGCCCCAAAACCACCCCTGACTGGCTTCATAGGCTGGAAATATCACAGACATCTATTAGACTCATGTCAGACCATTTTGATTCAGCAGAGAAATTAATGGACAATTACTGGCAACTGAATATACGTAACTACTATTTGGGCATTTGACTGTACAGGAAAAATAAAATCAAACATAAACAGCAGAATACCTAATATGAATATGTCTGTTTCGTGTATTACTATTCTAAAAGTATATTGTGGTTGTATTTACACTTTATACAGTATGTCCTGTATACAGTAGAGTCACGTTTCTTACACTCTCAGACTAGTCACTTGACAGTATTGATGTTGAGGGTGGCAGAGGTTTAACCCTTTCTAACCCTTTGTTCACAGGTATTTCCTGCTGCTCTCAAGCTAATAACATTCTGGTCATTATCCTTCTTTATTTCTGTAATTAATGTTACAGTAACATAAATATAACAACAACATGCTGCTTTAGCTTTACCTTAAGGAGGCGGTTCATGTCGGCCTCCATGTTGGAGATGGTCATCCTCTGCATGATGACATCAGAGATCCGGCGCTCCAGAGACTGCCATTTATTCCGTGCGACTCTGGTGGAGTAAACGCCAACTGTACGCCTGTAGGAAAACCTGCACACACAATATAATGTATAATGTCAATAATGTGACTGATTTAATTAGAGGATTTAACAATTTTAAGCACATTCAGGGATGATGTAAATTAGCTCATGAACATGTTCCAGAGCTGGTCAACAGATTGCTGATGCAAAATTATGTACTGAAATACAACGTAATAATGGCAAAACAACCATGTGCAAACAGAGATTTATGTGGCCTTTCCAGGGTTTGACTTATGATAGTGCAGGTGTCTTCCTTACGAACATGCAACACCATGTGCAGTATTTTAATAGCCTATTTTGGTTTTAAGAAAATTTATATTATAGTCAGCATAACATAACATATACCACATCTAAATCTATATACCTATTTTTAGTAAACTTTCCTTCTTGCCACTCTGGAAACATGAATGTGCAATGAAAACAGCTGTACACACACAGACACTCACCGAGTGCCATTGGGAGCAGCGTTGCCGGACGAGTACATGCGTCCAGATGGAGGTCTGTGGGGAGAGTCCTGGACTGGTTCTGGGAGATTGACCTTCCTGATGACCTTACCTGAGGTTGGCCTGGCTTGCCTCCTCAGAGCCGTCACCTGACACACACACGGCAAACAGAAAAGTAAAAACTAAAAGCACACCAAATGCAATTCTGCATATATTATGTATTGGTACAATCCATTCTCTCAGTACAAACATTCTTTTCTGCTGCTGCTCACCTCCTCTGTCTTTCTTCTCAGAATAAGCTCCTGTTGCCTTTTCTGAGCCTCCAGTAACTTCAGCTGGTGCTGAAACACAACAGTTAAATGATGACATTGAAACTCATGGTACAGCCTGATTAAGATGTAATTATAGCACTGAAGAACACTAACCTCTTGCTTGCGCTGGTCTTTCTTTAAGGAAGCAATTTCTCTGTTCCTGCGAGACTCGTTCATCCTGTTTTTCTCCTGCTGCTCCTTCATCTGCTTCATGAGACGGACCTGGAACAATCAAATCAAACATATTTATATTATATCAATAAATATCAAGAACATGTCAATGTTTGTGTGGGAGATAAATAAGTGATTTAATTTAACAAGTTAATAAGTAAATTGATAAAAATGTCAGCTTATAAACATTTGATTTAATTAATGTTGACTCTAGCATGATATTCTGTAAAAGGGAACACTGTGAAATAATGTCAATGTCTATTTAAGAGAAATTAGGCTTTGTTAGATTTGTTGGTTTTTATTTAGTTGAGTACTCCTGTAAGAAGATAAAAAATAAAAATACTTGTTTTATCCTTTTTTACCCTTTACTTCCTGTATAAGTTTTTTCCCTCTCAAGTGAATGAGTTAAGGCAAGGCATTCGATGAGCTTTAAACCCCCCATAATTCGGTTGTGAAAGTTCTCATAAGATTTGCGAAATATTATGAATATATTATTTATTGCTTAGTGGAGCATTTCTTGAACCCTGACACTTTATCTACATCCTTTGAAATGCTGTTTGTTGACTACTGTCAATTTTATATTAGTCCCAATGGAAGTAAATCCTTCCAAATACACTTAACTCTATACTTAACATAATATGCAGCAGGTAACACAGGTAAAACACTTATCAAAAAAAGACAAAGCAGTCAGAGAGACCTCAAATGTCCACCAGTATTATCGTACATATTATCACAGACAAACAATTATACCTTTGTCTTCTTCATTTCCGCCACATCCATCTGAAGCTTCTTCAGTTGTTTCTCGTACTGTGATTGGTTCTTCAGCAGGCGGGCATGCTCCTTCTGAGCTGAGTGGAGCTTCTGCAGCTCCTTGTTCATGACGCTCAGCTTCTTCTCATATTCAGCCTTGATTTTACGAGCCTTGTCCTCTGTGCCGCTTTCTACTGAAGCTGAAAGTATGCAACAAAAAATGTATGGAAAACTGATCATATCCATCCATAAAATGAAATGAATACAACAATGGCTGACAAAAGTTTATATGGCACAAAACACAATTGCTTTTACTTGGAAGAGAACTGCGTTGCAAATACATATACGTTTTCATCTAATGGTTTATACAGTCAGAACACTTGATCTTCAGTTGTCAGAAAGCTAAAACAGTCCTTAATGCTTTTAAAATCTAATTTGCATCAGAGAATGCGTTGATCAATTAGTGCTGATAAACATAAATGGTCAGGCTGCTGGCAGACAGCATTCACTGCTGACTCTCTGAAGTACATACAGTCTGCAGTGCTTTTTCTTTACTAAAAAACAAAAACTAAGATCAAATGTGTGGGGTAAGAAATAAATTCTTTCAAATACAAGCAAGGCAAGCAAGAACTAAAATATACTCTTCTTTAAGACTGAAATAAACACATCAAAAGCACTGACATTAAAAGCCAAAGCCACAGTTTCATCCAAACTGCCTGACCATGAGTGGATAAACGATGCACAGTGTTGTAGTACAATGCAATACTCTTTCAACTGAGCGATACATGACTCCCCTGTCTGGTGTCCTTGTCTTACTCATATTTTGGAGGACACGGTCCCTCTCCAGCTGGGTGTCCTTGATTTTGCACTGCAGCATCATCAGCTTCTGCTCGTACTGCTGTTTGAGTGTGTGCAGACGCCGCTGGCTGTTCTCCAGCTCGTCAATCAGCTTCTGCTTGATGGCGATCTCACAGGTGATGTTGGCTAGATCGGCCTGAAAGTTCTCTGTTGGACACACATGATCAGATTCAGTATTCACAGCCACAGTGATAGTCATTTTATAGGATTTTACATTTTATAGTATAAATGTTACAAAAAGAAGACAAGTGTCCTGATGGCTCATGTGCCTAAATGTGAGTGAACACAACAGCCACAGTCATCGCTCCTTATTTGGCATTTAGCAGTCAGTCTTGTATCTTTAATGTATCTTGGGTGAAATGATCACTCGTGGTCAGCTCTAAATGTAGGCGTGAAAAGTCCCAAAATAAGAGTTTATGTGTTGCTGGTGGATTTGTGTAAAACAGGACTGTCAATGATTGAACAGCTCCCCCTTGTGGAGAATCAGCATGCCGTTAAGGTGAATGGGTGAGAGGGACCAGACGCTGTCCCTCACCTTTTTCATCAGACTCTGAGTCAGAATCATCTGAGCTCTCCTCCACATCCATCTCCTCTTCATCCTCCTCCTCCTCCTCTTCTCCTTCCTCATGATCACTGCCTTCCTGGACATCCTACAAGATAATGTAATTTGAAGGGACTCCTTAATATATTTCGATGCCGATTTAATTTAAAGATAAAACAAGAGGCTTTCAATCGTACCATTTCTGCGTCCTCGTTGACTCGCTCTGTCATTTCCTTCTCTGTGCCCTTTTCTTGCTCATTGTCAGGAACTTCTTCTTTGTTGGCACTGAAAGATTGAGACAGAGTTAAGAATCAAACACATCATTTATCATGTTTACTGAGTAGAACACATGGTGCACATGGTACACCTCCACAGGTACTGTAACACACATGTAAGCAAGAAAGATATGTCTAACTAAATGTCTGTGCATTGTAAAGACAATGTTTCATTTTTTTTAGTTGGCACAGCTTACGTTTAGTAAATTACATAATGTACAGTTCTCACCAATGAATTACACTTTCTTTTTGGCAAACAAGCTTTTTGACGGACTTTGCCACTGTGTAGCAACAAAGCTTAAAATGTTAAGGACTTAATTCACTGTGATATGTTTGTAAACACATTTTTTATGAGAAAATGCTTTGTTTACAATTTACCATAAAACATATACAGGGAGCCTTAAGCGATATCTTGTGACATGTGGAACTATAAAGCTGAACACAGACGATGCTGCTCCGTTTAATGAGCTTGTTTGAGGAAAAGACAGCATATTTTTTTACAAAGGAAGAGAGGCATCTCATCAGAGTCTGAACAAAACCAGGAAAAGCCAAAAACAAACAAACAAACAAACAAACAAAAAAAAACATGGAAGGAATATGCAGAGCAAAACAAAATTAATTTGTGAAATCCATGAAGCAGATCTGTTGGATAAATATTTTATCCAAACACAGAGGGTTAGCAGTGTTTATGTGGTGTTTGCATCCGCATAAAGTGACCAAAACAAAAAGAAAGATTAACACAGGAAAGCAAAAAGAGGAATTAAATAAATATTAAATACAGTTAAGGCTGAATAACAGTCTGTCATAAATGAAAGAAGATACATATTCCTTCTGTGAAATCAACCTTAAGGCACATTCAAAACACATTTTAGGAAGTTTCAAACCTTCAGCACTAATAATCTGAATGGACGAATGTTTTAATAAAAGCAAAAAAAGTGTTATGAGCCTTGGCCTTGAAAATTTCATAATATTACACATAAAAACATAAAAAAGATGCAATAGAAAGCAAGGATGTAGCGTGATTTGTCAATGAATGAGTTCAGGGATTTACACAGAAGACCAAAAGAGAGATAAAGGCTTAGTTTATGGAGGGAAGTGCTTCTATGATAGCAAGTCTCACTCCAGCTGGGGGAATACCTGCCCAAAATAAATAAAAAGTAAAATAATATGCTGAATTAGGGGAAGCAAAGGAAGGGAATGGCAACAGGAGGGTGGAAGCTCTGACAAACCTGGCGTCCTCAACCTCTTCCACCACCTCCTCCCTTTCCTCCCTCTCTCTCTCCTCCAACAGCTGCTGGAGTCTTCAGGGAGGGGTGAAGGGTCAAACGAGAGAAGGAAGCAAGAGATGAACGAAGGAAGGAAGAATGGAGGGAAGAATGGTCAGAGAAAGCTCTGCACTGAAAATCCCACCTTTTATCCCCACTAAAGTGCCCCACAGCACAACTCTGATCATTTTCAACCTGGAGCCTCTGATCAGTCTCCAGTGCTTCCCATCAGGAATTCCTCCTTGCAGTGAATATTAATCACATTACAAATATAACATTTGCATGTTATTAATTGTTTCATGTCTATAACTGAAGTAAACAAAAATGCACATAAATCATTTAAGCATAATTTAGCCCAAGTATCCCAAGTTTAAAAATCATGACTAAAGATCCATAGACCTTTAAATATGCATGTTCCAAGCTGTTGAACTGTTGCCATATTTCTTATTAAAATGTAAACAAGTCAAACTGACTTCTGGGTGAAGCATTCAGTGATATGCCTTCCTTTGAAAATGAGGACGAAATCACAAAATATGTGCCATTCCAGTTTGAAATGTATGCACACCTGCAACAACACCAAGTGACCAATGACACTGTATGCCTACAACAGTCTTATTACCTTTTCTTTTTCTTTTTTTCTCGTTTCTTCAGTTTCTCCAGGTCTTTTTTGGCGAGTTCAATGATGTCAGAAGTCTCCTTCTCAGGGGCCAGCGTCGTGGAGGAGAAGGAGCCGGGCCCTCCATAGAACGACTGACGATTGGAGGCGCGAGACAGATTCTTCCTCAAGTGCTCATTTACAGCCTCGCTCTCCAGGAGTTTGGCTCTGAAGGTGAAATAAAGGGGCACAGACAGGAGGAGTTTGAAAATGTACCTTCATTTTTATAACTTTTTGTGATATTATGTGGTGCAAAATTTTAAAAAAGGAACCTCAAAGCATATTCCACAACTGCCTCCCTTCACTGTTGCACCTTTTCATGTCTCTCACCGAGGTAAATATTTCTGACTGTTCAATTCCAGCAGTACTCTAAACCAGAAACTGAAGTATGATGCATCTTGTGCTGATGGGGCTGTCAGCACATTTAAAAATGTTACTCTGGTCTCATACCCACTTTTTTGGTAATCAGTGATCAATGTTTAGGAACCATCTTTTATATTTACTATTATTACTATTTACTGCTATTTTACAAGTCATCATATGAGTAATTTGAAAGGTGAAGCCCTTGATTAAGGGTTAAGTACTGTATATCTGTATCTTAACAAGGGATTGTGTTCCAGTTCCATACAACATACTTCATCTAAGGCTTTGAGTATGCATTGCATTCACACCGGAAAAGTAGGAAAGCTGTAACATGTTGTACACTGGACACAAAATTCACACTGGTCTAACAATAAAGTATTAAATCTTTGGAAAAACAGTTGGCAGTAATATTCAATAGTCACTGTTTGACTGTATTGTATTTATGTACTATAACACCTTTCTGTTAAAAGTTTTTGAAAGTTTTAGTATTGGGGCACAGTGAGTTTTCACATAATCTACAGTCAGAGTTGTTTACCTGAGGTCTTCAATCTCTTTGATGTAACTCTGAATCATGTTTCCAATTTCTTCAGTTCCACCTTCACCTGGAAGTGAATCAAGACAATTTTAGATGAGATGTTTTTTATTATAAATGTGCCAATACACAAAATACTTTTTGAGTCTGCAGGCTCCAACCTACCTGCCCTGGTGAGGGCCTGGTTGGCCTGGTCACTGAGCAGCTGGGTGAGCCGCGCCCTCTGGGCATCGATGGTCTCTTGCATGGCCTTCACTCTCACCCTTAGGTTGCTGTTCTCTGTCTGCAGCATGGAGTTCTCGTGGAACATGTCGCTGAAGCTCTCCACACCGTCTTCACCTGCCATGCGTTTACCCTGCAGGGGGGAGGAGGAGGAGGCAATACAGAGGACACCTTGTTACCATTTGACATGAAATATTCCCTGGTTAATCTTTTTATTACATATTTTCAATGCACCCCCTGCCCCTTGAACTCCTCTCGTCTTACTGTCTTGTACTCCATTAACTCCATTTGCAGTCGAGCTATCTCCGTCCTCAGAGCGCTGATCTGCTGGCTGGCCTTGTCCTGGTTCACCATCACCTTGTTCTTGATGTTCCGGGCTCGGTTGGCATACTTCAATGTGTTCAGTGTCTCCATGAAGTCACGGTCAGATGGGCTAATGCACGCAATCATCACTGTTTGGCTGAGACAAGATGAAGTCAGATATTTATTAGTGTTTGGTTCAATTACAAAATTCTGACTGCTCAAGAAAGTACTTTTGCACTGTGAAACTTAATATTCTAATTTTGGTACACTCCTAATGACTTCCAGCTGTGTTAAAAGTTCCAGTTTTTGGGAATATTCTTCCTGTTCCTAACCAATGGATATATAACAATAGTTGGCATGCAATATTGTAATATTATATACTCCCCCCACTGTTTTGCATATGCTTTACTAAGAAATGCTATTGGGTTTTTATTTCTTAATTTATGATGAGATAAGATCATCCAATAAACATTTTAAACTTTATATTGAAGATCCTTTTTATGTTCCTTTATAAAAAAGTATTTGTATTTGAAACCTGACCACCAAGACTTCTGAGTCCAAGAAGTTTACTAACTAAATTACAGATAGTACTTGAGAAAAAATGTGAAACCAGTTGTCCACCAACCTGTTTCCTCCTAATGAGTCCTGTAGCAGTCGGGTGAGTTTGGAGTCTCTGTAAGGCACATGTGAGGCACGTTTGCCTCGGTCACCCAAAGCACTGATTACATTCCCCAGAGCGAGCTGCAGCAACGGAGAGGAATATACAGTGGAAAATACATCTCAAAATATTCTATAAGTAAATAGACCAAATCCTGAAATGTGACAAATAAAATCCTACAAATGATTTACAATACTTAGCATGTGTTCATTACAAAGAACACTGACACTGCAGCAGAAGTTTAATTTAGTCTTTCTGCAATCAACACATCTAAATTCACTGGTTTCAAATAAATGAATTTTGTTTGGTAAAAAAAGAAGAGATCACATTAAAAAGTTCAGTACATCGTGCCAAAATGATTATAGGATTGTCCTTCTGTGCAGTATGTTTCTGTTGCATGGTTGATGACCTATGTGTCCTGAGTGCATGATGGACGTGTATGAAATTCTGCCACTAGATGGCAGTCAAACTCAGTATATAGAATGTCAGTGGCTCTGGCTTCTCTGCGCCACAAAGTGACCTTACTAATCCTGCTGGAGTCGTGCAGAGGACGGAAAAGCTCACCAGTCCACAGTTGATGGAGATGCCCTCTTTGGCTCGATCGCCAGTCGCTCCAGTTCTCTTCAGCCTCTCAGAACCGGCCAGGTCAACAAAGTGAAACTTGGCTGTCAGAGTCTCGTACTCATCCATCTCAGAGTTTCCGTTGGAGACTCTGTTATCAGTCTCAGTTTCTTGCTGTGTGACAATTACAAAAAACAAACACTGTTAGTTACAAAGCATTGTGCTTGTAGTATCCATGTAGTTTTTAAATTAGACTATATACGAACATTGTCAGAGGCACAGACGCGAACTTGGCACAGGTGGATGGTGAAGATGGCGTGGGAGCGAGAGCTCTGGACGTTCATCTGAGTGCTGGCTGTGGTGCGAGACAGAGCCCCCAGCTTCAGGCACTGCATCATCTGAACAGGCAGAGAAAGATCTTCAAATATTAACACACTGGTTGAACTCACTTTGATACAGCGAGGGAACTCCAACATAAAATACTCATAGCGTTCCTAAACAGTTCAGGAATTAATAATACATGAATAATAAATGAATAAAAGCGTATTTGTAAAGGGCTTGTGGTGGCAAAGAGGTTCATGTTCAAGACTATAGATCCATTAATAAAATAAAAAATTCAATCATTCAATATTACATTTCAGAATGAATCCAAATCTGCTTTTAATAATTAGGCAAAAACAGTACCTTTTAACCCTATCGGACCTTTAAAAAGCAATAAAAAAGTTGTTCACCAAAAAAATTAGGCAAAAACATTCACTTAAACAACAATGAAAAATAAGAAAGAAAACAAAAATAAATAAAATATAATGCTGTCTGTCTGAGAACCAGATATCCACTAACAAAGTTGACTGATGAATGTTTGAGCTTGAATTATTATTTGATATTTTAAGTGAATGGCTTGGCCTTCTATATCTGAAAAATCATCCACACACAACGTTGTTGTTATTTGAACAGCGACGAAGTCCTCCTCAAAGGCTCATCTTAGTTCAGTAATCAGGCACTTATGCACCAATAGTCTCTAGAATATATTCAAACTCTACTGCATCAATATTGGCAGGTACAATGGGTGAGACGTTTGTTAAACACACACACACACACTCCTTTACCTCAGCCTCGGAGGACACAGTCCGTGTGGTCACTCCTACTGTGTAGATTCCCCCATTGGCGTCTTCATGGATCTTGATGTGAGATTTCTGCTTCATGTCTCGTGTGGAGTCAAACAGGTCCAGAACTTCCTCATTATAAAGCTATAGGGAGCCACAATAATACAATTACGAGCTAGATACATCACTTAAAGAATATCTGAAGCTATCAAATTCAAAACATTGAACACACAACATTTAGGACCAGTATACATGCTACATAAACCTCTGTATTGTTAATGCAGTTGTTAAAGCGAGTGAGGGCTCCAAAATTAGGATTATAAAATGTGAGGGAGATACGTTTTCTCCTTGTTTATGCCCTTGCTGATCTGCATAATAAAACAGTGAACTGATGATATTCAGCCATTAAGTGTGATACAGTAGTGCTAGAAAAAATATATAAGGGCTAGGTATACTTTTATTAGTAGCAGACAGAAGTATTTAGGAGTTATTGGCCTCAGCCAATCTTCATCATCCACTGTCAATAGCAGTTTTCTCACCGACTACTAAATAAAGCAAAACAGGCAGTAAAATCTTATATTTCTTTGTCCTTTAAAACCCATTAAGACAAGATAATGAAAACCAGACTTAAGCTCTGGCAAGAAAATCTTGGGAAATATAAACCATGCAAAAAGGGTAAAGTTTAAAGAATATGAATAGTAACTGTTGGGGACAGTGTAATATGTGAAATGTAATATTTCTTAGTCACAACTCATCCACCCCTCTGGCTCCAGGTCTTCTCTAGCAGTTTAAACATTGTCACGGTATGATGGACCGGCACAACTGTCTACTCACACCATTCCTGTTAACTCTTTCTGTCCAGACTGAGACACCACCCCCCAACGGCTCCTAACCCCCCGATGACAGCTGCTGCAGTTCAATTGTCAGTGTGGATGTTTTCAAATGATGGAGCGCTGGTGTCGAAGCTTGTTAAACGAGCAGTGTCAACAATATAAGCCTGACCCATGACATCTCTGTAAAGCCTCTCCTAATGGTAGCGAGAGAAAGATTATATTTTGTTAGCTTTATTTAGTTCAACATTTTTAGCTTAAAGAAGCAGATAAAATAAAAAAAATACTATTTATGATCCAGTGAAAGCAGGTGGGTACCTCAAGGAATTGGGCATTTATCTTAAACTCAGGTACAGGGCGTCCCTGTTCCTGGGCGGCCTGTCGGCGCTCCTCGATGCCCTTATAGAGGTGGTGAACGGCACGGGGGATGATACCTAGCTCCTCATCGGCAATGTTGACGTCAAAGCCCGTCCCCATGGTGTAGGTCTTCCCTGAACCCGTCTGGATGGGAGGAGAAAATGTAAAACATCATTGTATATTGAAGCATTAAGACTTCCCCCAGCTGGAACAAAGGGTCTTAGCCCAAACCATGAAAAAGAGCACAATTTAGTACGTCCATATACATTTGGCCATGTAGTGTATTTTGCTTCTGCCGTGTACACACTATGTGTATCAGCTTTTGGACAGACCAACACAAATAAAGAATTATTATTGTTACAGTTCTGATTTACTTGCTAAATGTATGTGTCCATCTATTTTAATGTGATATTCTTAGTCTGAGACTGCACTAGAGTAGCTTTACATGATTCACTCTTCAGAAACATCCTTATTTGTCTTATATTGGCCCTTCAGTTCACCCTGCCATCTCTTTAAGCACTGGGGCAGTGTTGGGCACATTTCTCTAGTACAGCTTTGGACTGCTGGAAGTGTCCGTCAGCAGCAGCTACCAGTAAGCTAATAGCGACAAATAAACAAATAAACTTCCTGAGAGTTCAGGCAGGTCATCAGAGAAAAAACTGAAAATATGCAACTTCCATTCACAATCGAAAAAGCACTTTCTTGCTCAGTTTCTTGTTTAAGATGATACATTTCAGAAACCAAAGTCCTTTTAAAAGAGAAAAAATGGACTCTCCACATCCTTACTGTCTGTATCTGCAACCCACCAGGCAGAGTTCTTGTGACGCAGTCGAGTGGGTCGGTCTAAATCTAGATTAGTCCCTGTAAAGCCACAGAGGCAAGCAGGTCTGACCCAGGCCAACCCAACTGCAGTCTGTGTGAATGTGCTTTCAGAAGTAGGCCAGCAGTGACAGAAGCAGTTACTGGGGAGATATGGGTTAATATGGACACACATTAAAGATGTATAGCTGTCTAAAAGGTGTGTGTGTGTGTGTGCACTTGACTTCGCTTTGAATTGCGTGAGTGCTGCACAGCAGAAGTTATGTCGCCACGGCAACCTAAGCACTAGGGGAGGTGTAGGAGAGGAAGGGGGTTATGAGGCCCAAACTTGCATGTTATTTCCATGTGGTGAATGTGGTGATGAAAACAAAAGGGGGAGGGTGAAGTGGAAGAGAAGGGGGAATAACATTAGCACAGATACTCCAGAAACTTTCCACATACCCCTTGACAACTGCTAAAGTATGCCCTGGTGTACAAGTACCACCGTTTGGGATTCACTGCTCTATTGTCATTCTACAACTGCGACTTTTGGGTAGTCTCATTGCATGTTTATTCATCCTGTAAAATGAATCCCGCCCCCTCAGCTTTTCCTGAGGCCTCCGTTTTTTTTCTTATCCAAATCATGGGTGTTTAGATTGAGAGCATTGTGTAGAGTATGAAGCCCTCTGAGATAAAAATGTGATTTGAGGCTAAACATATGAAAGTTTGTTTCTAGACTTTATTGTAAGCTATGCTAACCACCTCCTTGCTATAGCTTCATACTAAGTGTACAGACGTGAGGGAAGCATTGGTCTTCTCCTCTAACTGTGCAAGAAAGAGAATTGTCAAACTAGTCCTTTAAAACTATGGTCGGACAAATACAAGGTTACAGAGGTTCAAATTCCACAACAGAAGTCTCCTCTGGTCTCCTTTTACCCAAATGTCAACACTCTCCATCCCTCAAACACCCCCTTTCTATTTGTTTCCTCAAACACACAAATGCACAGAGCCCATTTCCCTACATCAGCTATTAAGCACCGTCAGCACTGCAGCTGTGATACTGAGGACAAAGACTCGCCTGTCCGTATGCAAAGACGGTGGCGTTGTAGCCCTCCAAGCAGCCCTCGATCAGCTTCTCGATGGAGGAGGTGTAAATGGAGTCCTGCTGGGAGTCCATGTCGAACATGTAGTCGTAGGTGAAGGCCTTGTCTTTCCCCAGGATCACCTGAGGCTCCCCGGGCATCACATATGTGCAGATGTGACATCCCTCTATCTTCTCCCTGGCCAGCTGAGGACGAATCCTACAGCGAACAGAAGAAAAAACAGATGAGAGGAACATTCTCACTTTATTAGGTATACCTTTAAATCAAATGCCATAGAGTACAACAGATCTGCCACACCTTCTACTTTATTGTTTATTTATTAAGTGTGTGATAAAAAATTTTTTTTTGTGTTTTAAAATAAAAGAGGTTCCTGGCAAGAAAATACGTTTAAACATTATGAAGGATACTTGAAACATATATAAAAAAGGAAACAAATTCCTCAATAATTTTAAATATTTAATCTTCCCTTTTGCTACAAAACAAACTGTCCTTTGTAGGGTCCCATAACTCATTTGCAAGAGCTTATGTTAATATGTTATGTTGATTCAATCTGGGCAAGAAAAATACAGCCCAAAACAATAGAAACTGTTGGCATCACACAGCTGGCATAGGCAGAAAACATCCCCAACACCACCTAATCCACTGAGCCAAAAAAACTGAATCAATAGGAGTTAATAGGAGAAGAATTAAAGTTCTGCAATTAATATATAAGAGTTCAATTAAATAAAAAGGAATAGTGACAAACACACATCAGTAAATAAAAACATAGCAGAAACCTTTGTCCTTACTCTGTCTATATACAGTATAATCAAACGTTCATTATAGTCACTCAGTGAAGTAAAGAAATAAACAAACAGAAACACTAGAAAACACACTGAGGTTTGATGCTCCTTTGGGGATTGCTGCTCAGTGTTGCAGTATTGAACTACAGACAGCCTTCAAAAAGTTATCTTAAGTATTTGTTACTAGAGAAATCCCAAGCCAGTCCTAAGGATCAGTATCGGCGCCAATTCAGCCATATTTTATCATCAGTATGGTCTAAAAAAGTCAATCAAAATCTGATTCTCTGGATTCGCTGAACTCCAACGCTAACTATCATTTACACACCTTATACGTCTACAGCTATTATTTCAGTGTGTCAGATACATGTCAGATACGCACATCTGCAGACACCCAATGTTAAGAAAAACCTGATCGGGACAGCCCTATTTCTTCTTCCACTGCAGAACTCTGTGTTGAGGACCATTTGTTAAGCCATTTGTTGATTTTATAGCCATAAGAAATAACTTCTCAAGAAAACAATATACAGAAACAGCAATATTTATTATCTACATACAACAAAGGGCTTATAAAAACCTTAAAAACAACAACAGGGGGTACATCTTTTGAAAACTAGGTAGGGATTCTCAACGATCATTGATGATTTATAAAAAAAACACACCAAAATCTTCATGTGCTTAAGTTTAAAAGCTCAGTCTTCATCTGAATACAAACAGGTCTTAACAACAAACAACACATTTTTACAGGGGAGTTAAGAACAATTCATGCCTGAATGTCCCCTTTTAATGTTCAACAGGAGGCACAGTTACTGTAGCTGCTGGCAATGGTTACCGTGGGTATCAGACCTGTGAATCACATTACAATCGTTCTAGCTATGCTGCTGAATAGGTTAGCACAATCATGGAACTGCCTCATTAAGCAGTAAACTGGAGACAGAGATTGTTCACACATAGTAATTATAGCTACGCATTAGCAGTTTTTGGCACCCGGCCATTAGAAACACTAACTGAACCTCCTTCAGATGTACTGTAAGTACTGAACATCTCCAGTAGCTCTACATTTGGCTTCCTCTGCTTCTTGTGTCAGAGACAAGCGTGACATACTAATGTTATTCTGACCATTCTAAATCACAGGAATATACTTGTTCATTTTCATCTGCTGCAGATGTGCGGTGAACATCCTACTCTGACCCAATACTATGTCCCATAAAAGCTGCCAGCTGGGTTAATGTGCACTGCTTTAGTGCGTCTGTCGACCTGTCTGTAATGTCTGAATGTTAGTAATGCTGTCCTGAATGTTGGCCAACTGAAATCTGCTGGCAGGGATTAACATGTTTACTGTGGATGTGGGAGAGGAAGAATAGGGGGAGGGAGCACTGTGTGTTCATTCTGCAGAGAAAGTAAGCATTTATTTCTTTTGTGAAGAAATAATAAAACACGCACACACACACACACACACAGACAGACAGACACACAGACAGGGGCTGCATGCAAGACGATAGAGATGACAACACTTTCTGAATGTCAGCGTGGAAAAGAAAAATCCTGGCAAATTGCGGAGGCCTAAGGTTGTCGATGAAAAGTGTCACTTCACTGAATTACCCTGTCTTGACTTTCTAATACAAGTATCACATTTCAGCTAAATCACCTTTGAGAGGCATACAGAAAATAACCATCCAAAAGCAGGTAGCAGGTAAAAGTAACCTTCAGAGTGCAGTATGAGCTGGTTAGAGATGATGAGAACATGAAAACTGTTATAATTGAATAAATATCCTTCAAAAGGCAGAGTGCAGGAATCTATTTTTGCACAACATACTGAGCTGTCACCACAACTTTACTGGTTGTCAGGGTGTTGTAACATCACAGCAACAGAATGAAGGAAACTATTCAATGCAAGTAAATTACTGTTCGATACGGGTTAGGAACGTCAAGTGTTAATATGGAGCAGCAAATGAATCATTTTAGCATCTATGCTGTCCTCACATTATGGTCGACTCTGACCGAGTGGGTCAATCCTTTAGAAAGTATCACTGCGTCATTTTAAACAAACTGTCCTCATGGGTTCAGCTCAGAAACAAGCATGGAAGAAAAGCACCTGACAGAGGGCCTGCCGGTCCCTCTGTCCTGTGTGGATAAGGGCCTCATTGTGCCTCCAAGTTCAGGGGAGAACAATGCTGTGAGGGGAGTACAGTGTGGCCATTGTGTCCGTCTGTGTGACACCGGATCCCAGCACTGACACCAACACCACGGCTGCAGGATTACACGGCTGGACGGAGGCAAGGGAGGAGAAGTAATGCCCTGCCTGGAGGTCATGACTCCTGCACTTTGGTCTCAAAAAATATCAAACCACCTTGAATGTAATTATACAGCAGCAGCAGCCAAAACTGTAAAGTACAACTACAAAATAAGCTTTAGGTTAAAGTAAATTAGGTGCACATTATACTGAAAGCATGTTACATTACCTAGAAGATTTACATCTTTTTTTCTTTGATTGTACTGTGGTTATTGGCATAACAGGCATGGACATAAATAAATGAAACTTTATGAAATAAAACATGAAGCCTGAGGTGCTATTTAACACAACAAATGCCATATATTTTGAATGACTGTGGTTAATTAAACTGAGGTTTCAGGAGTGGAGTGGAGTATTCAAAAGATCTTACAGCTTTAATGAAGAGGGAATATAACCAGATAATCGTAGCCCAAAGGGGATAGGTTAGGTCTCAACATTGGTACGGACAGAACAACAATAAAATAAAATAAAGCAGTGGTCCTCGTGATAAATCCTGAACTCCATTAGAGACGTCTAAAAATGTACATCGGAAACCAAAATATGATGTTTCCTCTGTCCTGTAAGGTGGGTGCAGGGTGCTAGGGAGCGCTGGAATGAAGCACTGAATGCGGTGAGAGAAAAACATATTTATGGACACAAGCTTAAGGCTGTTTCAAAACCAGAGAATAGATTTCTTAATCAGAGCGCTCACATAAGAACGTAGCAGTAGCAGAGCGCCAAATCATCAGCCGAAGACACACAGACACAGCCGGTTGCAGCTTGTGGCGTGTAGTGCTCTGTCTTGCAAATATTGGTAGTCCCTACTGTCCATATGCACACCTACAGTACGCCCTTGCATCCTGAATCCTGAGGTAGCTGGGAAGATCTCCTCAAGGCGATAGTACGTAGTAGTAGTCATTTCCCTCAATAAGCATCTGCTGCAGAGGTAACAACACAACTGTCACAGCACTGAGCAGCCTTCAGGTATGATGAGAGTAGCTGTCTGGATGTGCTACTCAAAAGACAATCGTTGGAGTGCAAAGCCTTGGTGAACCAGCATACAATAACAAATCTCTTTAATCCTCCGCAGTCTGCAGAGCTCGTGTTCCACTGTTTGGATCTCACGGTGTTTGTTATTCTAACGAAACAATAAACGTGATCCCAGACAGAAAATCAATTAGCTTCCATTTCAAATTCACCATATTCAACCAATTACACGTCGCCTTGGTGTTCCAGAAATCTAATCCTCTCTAGTAGCCACAAGGGGGGTCTTTCAGACAATTTAGCTCACTAATTGGGTGTGTAATCCTGTCTGTCTCTCCCACAGTACTTTCACACCCGGGAATCTGATGGCATTTCCCAAATTCACTCTTTTTTCATCTGCATGGTAACAGTGAGACTTACTAACTTACTGTACCATCGGGGTTTTAGAGGAGATTAGTTTCTCATTAATGCAAATATTAATATTAGATAGTTTAGTATTCAATATTTACAATAGAATTTCCAAGGTTTTAAGTTTTTTTTTTTAAGTTCTTTTCACAAGAATTAAGAATGAGATTTTAAATACAGTCAACTTCCAGATGTACTGTGTTGTAGCATGGCTTATTCCACATTGTGTCATCCAAGAGAATGATCAATCACATTTTAATTAAAAAAAAAGGACTTGTTTTCTTTTACACATTGGAGGAAAATCTGAAAAATATTCAACCATATTGGCCCACCCCTTACCAAACTAAATAAGATCATTCACTTTGAGCAGATTTATTTTGTAAAATATAGGTGATTAAAAGGGAAATGTAAGCACTCCGTGGATTTGAACATTTTGTGTGTCAATTAATATTGATAAACATTTTCAGAACTGGCTGAATTTGCAGCTATTTCAATAGATTTAATTGATTATCATCAATCATGATTGAAGTCAAATTTTGTAAAATGCACATCAAGTAAACTGAGCATCACTGTATCAATACAAAAGGTGTAACAGTGCGTGGTGACTTGTCTATTTTAGGGGCTACAGATTTTGAGCATAAGAGGGGGGTGGAGGTCAGAGTTCAGGTGAGGGTCAGGGTTAAGGGTGATGACGTCTCTGCAGCAGCAACCTGTTGCCTGGCTATAGTCAGCCAGCAACGGACTCAGGTACAAACACAAGACGGCTCTATATTAAACTGATTCTCAACACGATGAC